CCCAACCAGGTCGGCTCCCACCGCATAAAGGCCGCGGCGCGGCCGGCGGCGGCTCACAGCTCGGCGCGGGCAGAGTCGGCGGCATGTCCGGCAGAGGCAAGGGCGGGAAGGGGCTCGGCAAGGGGGGCGCCAAGCGCCACCGCAAGGTGCTGCGCGACAACATCCAGGGCATCACCAAGCCGGCCATCCGCCGGCTGGCTCGGCGCGGCGGCGTGAAGCGCATCTCGGGGCTCATCTACGAGGAGACGCGCGGCGTGCTGAAGGTCTTCCTGGAGAACGTGATCCGCGACGCCGTCACCTACACGGAGCACGCCAAGAGGAAGACGGTCACGGCCATGGACGTGGTCTACGCCCTCAAGCGCCAGGGACGCACCCTCTACGGCTTCGGCGGCTAAAGCTTTCCGCCCCCGGACCACCTCGAGAACCCAAAGGCTCTTCTAAGAGCCACCCACTTTCTCCGTCCGAAGAGCTGTGTCGCTTTGCTCGACCGTTCTTGGCTCGTGCCGTGTTTCTGCCCCCTTGCCTTCCACGCTCCCGCGCTCTCTGTACCGCTCCCCCCGCCCCCGTCTTTCTTGCCGAGCTGCGGCAGGGCTGGCTAGCCTTGCAGTTCGGCTTCGGCTTCCTCTCTAGCGCCCTGCTGCTGCGGCATCGTTCCCCTTCCCGGCTCTTCCGCCGCCTCTTTCCTTTGCTCTGCTTTCCTTTCCGGCAGCCGCTCTCGGAAGAGCTTGCTGGGGCGCTCGGCCCTGCAAAGCGAGCCACGCGCCGGTTTGTGACTCTTCCCGAGGCGTTTAGCGACGCCGGGAAGCCCCGGAAACCGCCGGGGCCTGAAGGGCGAGCCTAGTGCCTCTCTTCAGCGGCTTTGTTTGGAAAAACACACGGGCCGAGGGAACGGTCCCCCTGCCCCGCCAGCGAAATAAACAGAAGGAAAACGGTGACACCCGGCTCTGTCTCGCCAACTTCCCCACTACAGGGCGGCGGCTCCTTCGATTGCCCCTGCCCGGTCACGC